AGTATTTTCAAAGCACTACCTTATCTCTTTGCCTTCACCAACATGCTTTGTCTAACATCAAAACCGACTGTAGAAGCATAAACACAGTAGAAAATGACAGCTTCATTAAGCCTCTAAAATGGTTGTTCTTTGTGAGGCATGATTGCATCATCGCACCATAGTATCTGTTGAAAGTTACTATGACTACATGCAGTAATAATAGCAATTTACGGTGCATGGCAGGTAAATGCTTGCATGAAGGGAACACGAGCCCAGCATGTGAGGGAAATCTTGTCTTCTTGCATGACACAAAGAAAAGGAGCTCACATGACAGCTGCAGCACCTCTTTAACCGAGACCATTGGATGATTAGCTTATCTTATGATTATGACAAGTGTTCTATTCTAGATAGTTCATCTCTTGATATAAATTGTATAGGGCAGCTAGGTTTTATGCTGCAAAAACAATTTTTGTGGCCGTCATATATTATCATTGTTCTACTGAACTCAAGAAATGAAAATCCTTCCAGATTTGATCTTTCTTTTCCATTTTATCTGTCACCATGAAATTTAACATGGTATCAGAGCAGGTTTATACCTGTTTCTGATCTCCATTTCTTTCTCTATATAAAAAAAAAAGGCTGAAGCAAGCTCAACACTGAATCCATCGAGCTCAAGCTCCTTACAGCTCATCTCTCCAAATAATCAACTTGTCACTTTCAATCTTGATGATGGAAATTTTCTGATCTGGAAACAACAAGTTGAGATGGCCATCAAAGGGTATGGACTAGAAGGATTCATATATGGAACCAGCCAACCACCTCCAAGGTTCCTAGCCTCAGATCCAACCGAGCCACTCACTCTGAATCCAGAACACATCACATGTCAAAGGCAAGATCATCTTTTGGCCTCATGGATCCTATCCTCTCTAGGTACCAGCATTCTTCCTCTCATGGTTGGTCTTAGTAACTCTAAGGATATTTGGTCTGCCCTTCAAAAGAACTTCAGTAGTCAATCTCTAGCTAGAGTCATGCAGTATAAAATGGAAATGCAAAACCTCAAGAAAGGGTCTTTAACCATGAAAGAGTATATAAGCAAAATGAAGAGCTTGTTTGATGCCTTAGCTGCAGCTGGCCATGTAGTGTCTGAAAAAGATCAGATTATGCACTTGATTGGTGGTCTTGGGCAAGAATACAATCCAATCATGGTGACTGTGTCTTCAAGGGTTGAACCCTGGTCTACTATAGACCTACAAGCTTTACTCCTCAGTTTTGAATCAAGGCTAGAAACAGTGGGCCTCAATATTCCTTTGGTTAACAGTGATGGTTCATATCCCATGGCCAATGCTGCCATGACTCAGAACTTTCCAAGGAATGCTTCCCAGAATAGAGGAGGAAGAGCTCCCTTCAACCAAAGCTTTAGAGGAAGAGGTGGAAGAGGTCCCAACAGAGGCAGAGGAGGAAGGTTTTCAAAACCAAAGATTCAATGCCAAGTCTGTGGAGTCAATGGGCATACTGCAGAGAGATGTTGGTACAGATATGACACTGGTTATATGGGCAGTGCTCTTGAGAATTCATCAAGAGGTTTCAATAGCCCTTCTGCCAACATGATGCACACTCAACACTTGACTCCTTCAGAAGCTGCAACTGACTCAAACCAATGGTATCCTGACAGTGGGGCTACCAATCATGTTACAAATAATTTCACCAACTTAAGCATTGCTAGTGAGTATGGTGGAGGAAGCAAACTTCATATGGGAAATGGTTCTGGAGAAAACATCTCTCACATAGGTAAAACACTTTTAAAACCACATCACTCTACCAGAATTTTTGTTTTGAAAGATTTATTGCATGTTCCCAGTGTGACCAAAAATCTTCTAAGTGTCTCTAAGTTTGCCTTAGACAACAATGTGTACTTTGAATTTCACCCCTTTCATTGTTTTGTGAAGGACCAAGTAACTCAGGAGGTTCTGCAAGGGGAACTTAATCAAGGACTCTACCAATTTGAGCTATCAAATCCAGCCTCTCATCACTCAAAAAACAACAACTGTCACCAACCATCTTTTTCAGCTTTCTTTACTAGTTTTAAGAACCAATCTGCCCTAGATTTATGGCACAAAAGGCTTGGCCATTGTAATCTTGACATTGTCAAGAAAGTTCTCAAATCTTGTAACCAACCTTTTGAAAATAATGAAATGAATGGGTTATGTTCTATTTGTGTTGTGTCTAAAATTCATAGATTGTCTTTTGCTGATTCAGAAACACACTATAATGCTCCTCTTGAATTAGTACATTCAGATTTGTGGGGTCCTTCACCCATAAAATCCAGAAATGGTCACTCTTATTATGTCATTTTTGTAGACCAATACACAAAGTTCACTTGGATCTACTTCTTAAAACTCAAGTCTGAGGTTCATGACATTTTTCTTCATTTCAAAAACATGGCAGAAAACCAACTTGGACATAAGATCAAAAGTTTTCAGAGTGATTGGAGAGGAGAGTTTAGATCCCTTACTCCTTTTTTACAAACCAATGGCATCATTCATAGAGTTTCATGTCCTCACACACCTCAACAGAATGGAACAGCAGAAAGAAAGCATAGACATATCACAGAAATGGGTTTATCCTTACTCAACCAAGCCTCTTTACCTTTAAAATTCTGGGATGATGCCTTTTCTACTTCATGTTACATAATAAACAGGCTTCCCACTAAGTCCTTGAAGTTTAAGTCTCCCTTGGAGGTCCTCTATAACCATCAACCTGATTTTAGTAAATTCAAAGTTTTTGGTTGTCTTGCCTATCCCCTATTGAGACCTTTTAATAAACACAAACTTGAACCCAGGTCTATTGGTGGAACTTTTATAGGATTCAGTGCTTCTCACAAGGGTTATAAAATCATGTTACCTTCTGGTAAAATTATCATTTCTAGGCATGTTCTATTTGATGAAACTGTTTATCCTCATGCCAAAGACCTGAATGTTAAGCATGTTGATCCTAATGTTTTTTATCCACATTGCATCAACAATCCACCTGTTGTTCAAGGCAAGCCATCTCCCTCTCAAAATAAAAATATCCCTCAAAACACTGTATCAGAAAACAGCAGCCCCTCACATCACATTTCTCCAAACCAGTCCTTGCATAGTCCAAGATCCATTAACTCACAATCTAGCCACAACACTATTCCCTTAATTGTGGATTTGCCTATTGAGATGAACAATTCTCCAGAACCAGCATCACCACCATCATCAAGAATTTCCAATAGACACCACATGGTTACAAGAGCAAAGGTTGGGATCTTCAAGCCTAGAGCTCTAATTGTTAAGATTGAAGAAAGAGAACCGACCAATCTTGATGAGGCTTTGCAGTCAGTTCACTGGAGGAAAGCCATGACATCAAAGTTACAAGCTCTTGTTGACAACAACACTTGGGATCTCACAGATCCACCTGTCAACAGAAATATAGTTGGTTGCAGATGGATTTTCAAGCTCAAGAGGAACTCTGATGGAACAATCTCTAGATACAAGGCAAGGCTTGTTGCACAAGGGTATTCACAGGCTGCTGGTTTTGATTTTAGAGAAACCTTTAGTCCAGTGGTCAAGCATTCTACAATCAGAATCATCCTCACTGTTGCAGTTCATTTTGCTTGGCCAGTCAGACAATTGGTTATCAACAATGCTTTCCTAAATGGGGAGTTGTCAGAGGAATTATACGTGATGCAGCCACCAGGTTTTCATCATAAAAGACATCCCAAGAAAGTATGCAAACTGAAGAAGGCAATCTATTGCTTAAAACAAGCATCAAGAGCATGGTTTCTCAAAGTGAAAGATACTCTCAGCAAAATGGAGTTTTGTAGCTCACAAGCTGATAATTCCTTGTTCATCAGAAGAACTCCACACTCAGTTATATTGATTTTAATATATGTTGATGACATCCTTGTTACAGGAAGTGATACCAAAGAGATTGAACAGGTCATCACCCAACTCAGTGCAAGCTTCTCATTGAAGGACTTGGGTGAGATTCACCATTTCTTGGGAACGAAAGTGCATAGATCAGAAAGTGGGATGTTTCTGTCCCAAGAAAGGTATGCTCAAGACCTATTATCTAAGGCATCCATGTACAATTCAAAGATGGCCAAAACACCTATGTCTTCAAGCTGCATTCTGAAAAAGAACACATCAGACATCAATGTGGATGCTACTATGTATAGAAGTATAGTAGGTGGCCTGCAGTATCTTACAATTACCAGACCTGAAATTGCCTTCTCAGTAAATAAAGTCAGTCAGTATATGTCCAATCCTCATGCTGATCATTGGAAGGCCATTAAGAGGATACTAAAGTATATAGCAGGCAGCACAAATCTGGGATTGAGGATCTCTAAAGGTAATGATCTGAACATTGTAGGCTTTTGTGATTCTGATTGGGCAACTGACTTAGATGATAGAAGATCTACAAGTGGTTTTTGTGTGTATGTTGGAGGAAATCTGGTATCTTGGAGTTCAAGAAAGCAAAGCTCAGTTTCAAGATCAAGTTTTGAGGCTGAGTACAAGAGTTTGGCTCATGTCACTTCTGAAATTGTATGGTTGAGGAGTTTACTAAATGAACTTGATCTCTTAAAACAAGATCAACCAGTTGTTTGGATAGATAATCTCAGTGCAATTGCTATGGCTTCGAATCCTGTGATGCATGGAAGAACTAAACATGTGGAGCTAGATTATCACTTTGTTAGGGAGAAGGTTGCAGCAAAAGAACTTGAGGTGAGGCATGTTCCTACTCGTTTTCAAATAGCTGATATCCTGACAAAAGCTTTAGGTGAACAATCCTTCACCATGTTGAGAGAAAAGCTGTGTGTAGTAGCTCAACCAGGTTTGAATTGTGGTGGAGTGTTGAAAGTTACTATGACTACATGCAGTAATAATAGCAATTTACGGTGCATGGCAGGTAAATGCTTGCATGAAGGGAACACGAGCCCAGCATGTGAGGGAAATCTTGTCTTCTTGCATGACACAAAGAAAAGGAGCTCACATGACAGCTGCAGCACCTCTTTAACCGAGACCATTGGATGATTAGCTTATCTTATGATTATGACAAGTGTCTCTATTCTAGATAGTTCATCTCTTGATATAAATTGTATAGGGCAGCTAGGTTTTATGCAGCAAAAACAATTTCTGTAGCCGTCATATATTGTCATTGTTCTACTGAACTCAAGAAATGAAAATCCTTCCAGATTTAATCTTTCTTTTCCATTTTATCTGTCACCATGAAATTTAACAGTATCCAATATTTACTGCCACCAGGAGTGACGACTAGACGGTGTTGCTGAGGTGTTGTTTTTAGAAGTGCAACTGCAACAACTTATGTAAAAACAAAATAAAAAATATAAATAAAAAATAAGCAACAAATCAAGACTATTAATATGTGCATGCACAATTATGTAACAATATATGCACCACTGCGTGCATAAACATGCACATCGTTCTTTTTTTACATGCACTATATACAGCATGCACATATGCATCAGTCTCTCAAACGTGTTTAAATCATATGACATAAACACTGAGACACTAATTAAAACTATATATATATATATATATATATATATATATATAAACAAGCATATATCGTCACGGGCGGACGCAGACACTTAGAGCACCAGGGGCACAAATTACGGTAAACGGTCAATGTTGAAGGTCAACAGTCAAATCAATATTTAACCAATTAAAAGATTAAAAATATTAAATATTGACCAAATATCTTGTTTCTTATTTAATAGCTATAGATGAGTCTCACATTCTCATTCTAAGAATAGAGACACATTCGATCCAATCCCTATATAGTATATAGGTTTATGTATAAATTTGTTTTGTTTTTATGTATTTTTTGAGGAAAAATTAAATAAAAAAGAAATTGAGTATATCATAAACATAATTCCACAACTTAAAAAATAACATACTATTGAAGGTTAAATAATTCTAAACATTTCATTTTTATTTTTTATATTGAAATAACTTTACAAAATAATTAATAACATGTATTTTTTAATGTCTATAATAATACATTTATACATATAACATTTATACATATTATATTACTAAAAAGGGGCACGGGCCCCTATGTAGGTCCGCCTCTGTATATCGTAGTCCTTATTACCTTGTGTTTCGTCCGTGTTTATAGGTTCTTCCATGAGCAAAATTTTTTCAAAAACCTGAATCAGACATAGTGTCAATAATCCACTCCTTTATGCAGTATGTTCGATCGATTAAGAGAGCTATAGAGAGAACAAACAACACAAAAAAAGAAGAAGAAGAAAAAACCGCAATAATTAATCTTATTCTACGCCGCTCGATGTGAGCAGCTTACGAGCTTAAACCTTGATTCCACTGCGGATTTTAGATACGGGTGTAGTATCTAGTCACTTCGATACACAAAGCAGCCATGTCTATTGTTATCGCCTCAATCAATCCGCAGATCCCTAATGTTGTTTCTGAGCTTCGGGTTTTTTTGTCTATTATTGCCTGAGTTTCTTTATTGAATTTTGGGCGAGAGTTGTGGGGGAGGCGGCGTGTTGATTGTGTAATGACACACATCTACTTCTTATAGATGTGCACTGGTGGGCATGTTTGTTTCGTTAGATTATTTCAACTGTATGGATAAGATGTATTCTTATTTAATTTGTTGAGCACTATTGTAACTGGTGTGCGACCACACACTTAATGTATTTTCATTTGTTTATTATTATTATTATTATTATTATTATTATTATTATTATTATTATTATTATTATTATTATATTATTATTATTTTATTATTTTGTCGGCATTTTATTTTCACCCCCTCCCCTTTGTGTAAGACATAATTCACGACTCAGAAAGGTAGGATGATGTGTTTGAGATTTTTTTGAATTTATTTATTATTATTATTATTTTATTTATTTATTTATT